TTAGGCGGATGCAAATTAGATTTGAGATTTGGATAATACCATCACTACTGGGTGCCGGGACGTAACCAGAAAAAAATTTCGGGGGGGGGGCCGAAAATTTTTTGCGAAAAACTCAAAAAATTCACGAGAAAACAGCGCCGCAGGCAAAAAATTTGAGAAAAAAGTCAATGTAGCTCTACAAATAGCAGTAAAAACTTGAAAAAAGAGCGCCGCAGGCAGCAAAATTTTTGAGAAAATAAAAATCATAAGGGTCCCCCTTATGAAATTTTTGGGCCCCGGCCGATTTCGGGGCGGGCCCAGGGGGCCCACCTTACGCTACGTCCCTTGACTGGGTGTCCCAAAAAAAAGCACCCCCTCTAGCGGTCCGGGGGAAACTGAGATCAGGATGATTTTTATACCATTCGAAAGCCCGCGAAAAGGCGAGAAAACAAGCGGGCTTCATTTTCGAAAATTTATTCTTATTCGTCCGATATTCAACGTTTTTGTAAAAAACAGGCAGCTTTTCAATAGGAATTTCGCAATTAGCATGCAGATCTTGCGTAAATCTGCCGTTTTCTTGGTTTTTGGACCTCAAATTTGCGAATAAAAAAACATAATAAAGAAAATGAACCCAGCTTGTTTTCTCGCCTTTTCGAGAGCTTTCGATAGATACCTAAACGGTGGAAATCGGACACGACTGAGCGCCGCTAGAGGGGGGTGCTTTTTTTTGGGACACCCTGTAGTTTGAAGTCACAAACTCAATCCTTCATTTTGTTTACCCCTGACCCTAGATGGTCACTTACAGTCAATATCAACGATGGCCAGATTGAAAACCGTTTATCAGCGAGCCTTTCGCATTTTTCCAGCCAAAATGTCGCCGGACCACCCAGATGACGATCTCCGCAACCTTCCAAACAACATGACGGACAACCGGGCCACTTTGCATGGAGGATGGTCATTTTTGGGGCTGAAGTGGGAGACAGAGTGTCCACTATGAACCCCATATATGCAATTGGTTGCGGGGTGGACAGGACGATATTTGTCTTTTCACAAAGTGACGTCCCTCCCGCCCCACAAGCGGTCAGCCACTACCATTCTACGCAGATCGGAGCCTATAAGACTGCGGACTATGTATTTTGTATTGCAGGGTTTATGGTTTATTGAATTGACATGCATACTTAGAATTTTAATGGATTGAGTTTTTTATACCTAAAAAATTCAGTTTCGTCACTTCGGGTGGCCCAAATCGGGCAGCAGCTACGTTTTCTTTGCAGATCGGAGCCTGTTAGGCTGTGTTATAAATATTCTGTATGGCAAAGGTTCTATTCACTTTAACTGACAACAATACCGTTAGAGTTTAATGGAGTGAGTTTTTTTATTGAACCACTAAGATTCGAATTTCGACCGAAATCTTGGTATTTCGCCTCCCTGTGTTTACCTCTCCCTACAGGTGGTTGAAATGTCATTGGTTGGGCCATCTGTCTGTCTGTCTGTCCATCTATCATTCCTTCTGTCTGTCTGTCTCTCTGTCCACCATCCCCAACCGCAATCCCCTCGATTTCAAGGCCAATCCCCCCCTTCAACCCTATTCGATGCCCTCCATTCAACAACCTTTATACTGCCCTCCCCTCCAAACAGTAGTCTCTCTTCCCTTCTGGGGTCAATCCTATTCTCCATCTATTGCTAAAGGCTTTTCCGTAACACTTCCAGCTTACGCCCTATCTGCCATTCACTCCCTCAGGCTGCCCGGTCTCGCTTTCGCATCAAATCGGGCGTTGTCCGTCACTTTACTGTTTACACCTCCTACTGGCAGTCATACTACTCGGAAACTGCGATTTCCGAGTGCTTTTGCATTATCCGGGGGGGGGGGAGGAATAACTTGTACCGCTTTTTTCAAAAATTTCTATTAACGCAGTAATAGATGTTTCAATGGTGTTTTTGGTAAAGCTAACTAGATTTAAAATGCAAAAATTCCTAAAGATTTTGAAAATTTAGATTTATTTGAAAAATCGGTATTTTTATCGAAAACTAATTTTTTTTGCATTGACCACAAAAATTGCCAAATTTTTCATTTTTATGCATAAAACCGTTAAAAAACGCTTTTTGGAGTATATTAGAAAAAATTGGTTCACTCCCCCGATAATGTAAAAGCTCCCAATTCCCAAATAATCCCTGCTTTGCCGCGAAAGCTACACAGCGGCGCGTCAAATCAGCTTTTGACCCAGATTGTCAAGCAGCCTTTCCTTTTTGCGAGTTCGAAACCCTCGATTCTTTTCTCTGAAGGAAAAGGGAAAGAAAATGCTTCGAGCACTTTCCCTGCTTCTTTTTAACCATTCCTCCCCCCAGGGCGTTAGTTGGCCGTTCAGCTGATCTGTTAGTCAGTCTGTACGTCTGTCTGTCTGTTTTTCTATCTTGCTGTCTGTCTGTCAGTAGGTTTCTCTCTTCCTCTTTCTCTCTCCTCTCTCTCTCTCTCCCCATATGTCTGTCTGTCCGTTTGTGTGTACCATTTGTCTTTCTGTCCTCCATCCCTCCCAAATCCGCTCGCTAAGTCGGCGCACACCTTCTGCTGCTGCTTCTTCTTCCCCGGGTCCCGAAGCGGGGCTTCTGCTTTCCCCTGGGGGCTTTTCTCATTCCTGAGCGCCGAGCCCCCGTCCCACAAATAATAACACCAGAACTAACACCTGTTCCGTTGGACAACCTCAACGGCGCTTTACTTTTTCCTGGAACTATTGTACCGGACACCCGATTTTTCGTTGGCGCTCGATATCGTTTCCTATCGTAACCCGAAAACTCCATGCTTGAAAAAGAATTGGCTCTATCCTAATAGCGGGGACCATAGAAATTATCGTGGACCATAGAAAATATCGGGGACCATACGAAATATCGTGGACCGATCGCGAATATCGGGGACTTTAAAATTGGCCATTTAGGCGAAAATTTCGGCTGATCAATATCGTGGACTTTAAAATTTGGACTCCAGCCGGGCTATGGTCCACGATATTGCCCGAAAGAAAAACCGCGGAAAACGTGCAAAAAACGTCAACAGCAGCATCAAAGTTGAGTAAAATGCATCAATCTCTCAATGTCTTATCGTAATTTTTATTTGTTTACAAATTTATGATTATTATTAACACTACATGTTTTTAAAAGGCCGTTTGCCAGATGCCAGCCCCCTTTTAGAAACCGAATTTCTTTTTGCTCTTTTTTGCAATCGTTCTTTTTTGATCACTAGATACGAAACACTGTCTTTCTTCGCCAAAAACTTCTTGCGCATCTTTTAAGAGTATTTGAAGAGCGTTACATTCAATTTGGTGCATTCAGAAATATAATTTGGTGCAGTAGTTCTCGGGATAATTTTTCAAGGGTTTCAGCTTTGACACCCATTTAAACCTAAAAATGAACGTATAAAAATCTCGAAATAGCGCCACCCTTCTAATTCGACCATGCTCTTTCACATGACATAAAAAACTGTGAGGAGGCTTGCTCGGGTCTCTGGCAAACGGCCTTTTAAAAACATGTAGTGTTAATAATAATCATAAATTTGTAAACAAATAAAAATTACGATAAGACATTGAGAGATTGATGCATTTTACTCAACTTTGATGCTCTGTTACGTTTTTCACGTTTTCCGCGGTTTTTCTTTCGGGCAATATCGTGGACCATAGCCCGGCTGGAGTCCAAATTTTAAAGTCCACGATATTGATCAGCCGAAATTTTCGCCTAAATGGCCAATTTTAAAGTCCCCGATATTCGCGATCGGTCCACGATATTTCGTATGGTCCCCGATATTTTCTATGGTCCCCGATATTTTCTATGGTCCACGATAATTTCTATGGTCCCCGCTATTAGGATAGAGCCAAAGAATTTTCTCATACTTTCTCTATTTGGGATCGACTCAGTACCGGCCAGTAACTGCGAGGCGAGGAAGGATTTTGAAAAAGTAATGGATCGGTTGCTAAAGCCCGGTGTTATCGGTTTCCTCCATAGCGTATCCCGAAAACCTCAATCCTTAAAAAATTATCTTCTGGGCTTTCTCCTTATTTGAATCGCTCCAGCATTGGTCAGAAAATGTGGCTGGATCAAAGATTTTCAAAAACCAATGAATTTACTGCTAAAAATGGTCCGTTCTGTTCTCTCCATACCGTATCTTGAAAAGCTCAATCCTTGAAAAAGTATTTTCCAGACTATTTTCCTAATGGAATTGGCTTATTATTAGCCAAAAAACGTGACACGGTCAAGTGTTTTAAAAAATGAATGAATTTACTGCAAAAAAAGCTTCTCCGTGGCTCCCTACCGTATCTCAGAAAACTCAATCCTTCAAAAAGCTATTTTTCACCTCTTTTTCCAGATCTAAAGGTTTATTGCTAAACAATGGAACGAAGTTTGTGAATTTCCTCAAAAATTACACGAGAATACCCCTTTTACTTCTCCAGTACGATACCTTCCAAAACACAATCCTTCAAAATTGCCACTCTCAATTCTTCAACCATCCGCATCGCTTCTTTACCGGCCAGTAAACCGGGTTTTATGTTTTTCCCTCGGACAGTTCAAGGTTTTTTCGACATAAACAAGAGTTTGCCCTTCAAACTGACTGGTATCCAGTTTGATGGTAATCAATGAGGATCAACTGGGGAGCATGGGCCAATTCTCGAGCCACAAATCGCATCATTCGGTGGGAGGGAACGAGCAATTACCTAGCAAAACCGTGTTTCTTTCTTGACAGAGGGCGAGAGAGCGAGAGAGAGAGAGAGAGAGCGAGAAAACAACATAAAGACAGGTTTCATTCATTCATTCTCCTTTCTCCTGCTCCTCCTCCTCTACCCATAACATACAATTTGCCTATTCAAAGCGGTGCCACCACAAACTTTCCATTTTCCAGCGTTATTCCGGGCATTTCCTTGATTGCAAACCATTCGTTCTCCTTTTCTGGCTAGTTTCCGAACTTTCTAAATCAACCTTTTTCGTTTTTTTCAGAATTCCCCATCATTGCCAGGTTGCAAACTGGCCGGCCCTCGATTGAAATGCGTGCCATCAGCGGCCGTATCGCCCTGAAATGTCTTCAATTATTATCAACAGTCCTTCTGATAATCGTCCTCTCCAATCTGGGTACTCAATGGATTCTCCTCATCGGATCCCTCTTTGTGCCCCCGTTTGGCATATTTATGATTCTCAGGTTAGTTCGAATTTCGGTGATTCTTTATCGGCCAAAAATCCCTCGTGAAAAATGTAAAAGTCGAAGGATGACGCCTTTTTCGAAAACTCAATCCTGTGGTTTATTCTTTGCGGGACCCAATGTCCTCCTATCCTCCTCTAAAAGTGAGGCTTGATGGTATATACAATTTTTGGCAGGATACTGTAATTGCCAGGATACCAGCAACTTATCGATAAAAACCTAAAAAAGCAAAAATCTAGTTATTCTGGAAAAAACTCAATCCTGTAGTTTGTCCACGATAGGATCCAAAAGGGTCATAAAGGCTAGTTTTTGGATCAGTTTGTAATTTTGAAGACAGGATACCGTAAACCTACTTGGAAAGTTGCCAAAAAACCCCTTTAGAACCCAAAAATACCGATTTTTAGGTCCCCGGATCGCCAAAAGCACCTCCTACCCTATCAGACCTACGTAGCAGTGGCTGCTGGCAGACGGTAAAGCTCTATAAAAGTCTAAAAATCATCAAAATCCAGATGGCTTCGAGTGGACGCAGCTCTTTGCGCGTGTATGTGCCTCGCATTCCTCGGATTCTCCTTGATTCTAATGCTAGGTGCTGGAAAGGTGGGGACAAAGTTTAGCTGGGAAATCCACTAAAATACTCTTTACTGTCCGAGAGATTGCCTACTGACACCCATTGCAGACAGCCACCCCCTCACAATCACAGCTTCTCCTCTTCGCGGGTGTTTGTGGCCTTGTCTCCGCCCTGGCCTACGGTCTAAATATGATCATTTCATTGTGTCATCTCCGAATGGCTACTATTGACTTTTCTGGGGCTATCATCAATCAGGCAAAGATTGCACAACCTGGAAAAACTGCCAAGGTACGGATTTGCCTATCGTAATTGGACGTTTTGGAAGTCAATTCGCTTCAATTTCATCGTTTTTCTATCGATTTTCCCGTATTTTTCTTCAGAAAGCCATAATACATGTTAACTGGGTGGAAGCTGATACCGTAATGAGTTAAGAAAAGCTCGAAGTGTTTTTAATAACGTAATCTGATGTTTTACTAGCCAGTAAAACTGAATTTCAGACCACATTCCCGAATTTCATTGCTATCGAAATTTGTCGTTTTAGATCCAGTAAAAACGAATCCAACCGAATTGGCTCGCATTTCATATCGTAATTGATTATAAAACCGTTTAGGTATGCCCACTGCCAAATGGTGAAACCCCTCTGCCACTCCATATCGACACACTCGATCGGTACATTCGAAACTGGTTGCAAAAAACTCAATCCCTAGATTCCACCAATCGCCTCTTCCATTCCCGGATGATAGTCTATGTCGGAATGCCAAATACAGAAGCGACTGGGATCTACCGTCATATTTTCAGATTGTCGTGAGTTATACACGAATTTTGCGTTTATATAGTGATTTATAAGTTTACAAAGCAAAAATGTCCCCTATGGGGCGCGAAATGCCTAGTAACCGTTTAAAAAGTCTTTTAATAGTCTTATTCATAAAATTACGTGAGATTTGCGCGCGAAAAAACCGTTGAGAAACTTTTCGAAACTCTAAAAACCTTCGCAAATCGTTTAAAATTTGAAGTTTTTCGTCAAAATCGGGATTTTTTGTCTAAAAAATATCGGTATTTATGTTTTTTTTTAGTTTTTTTGTAAATTTTATGCATTTAACGTTTTTATATATTTTTAGTCGATTCCCCGCGTGCAAAGCATCAGCAAAGAGCGTCCGGTATTCATCGATGATTGGCCATCCACGAAAAGAATTCCTTCTTACGAGAAGCCCCTCTATGATTGTCGGCATTTCGGCATTAATATGGTGGCTACAGACTCTACACCCGGTAGTTTTGATAAACTGACTACCAACCAATCTGTAAATACCTTTAGAACCTTTTCAAGTCTACGATATCCCAGCCGATAGTCCATCTATTGACCGGAAGTTGATACGACCGCCCCGGAAGTCGTCGATGCCTGGGTTTCATGTCGATAAAGCAGGTTTGCGACATTCCGTAATAAGAATTGTCTGCCATTGTATATAATAAACAAAAAAACAACGAAAACCTTTAAAAAAATAGATTTTTCGACCAAAAATGGTCATTTTTGATCAAAATTTCGAATGTTCCAAGTTTTTTAGATAGTTTTTCTAATTTAAATATCGTTATATGGATTAACTGGCTTCTAATTTATATCATAAACCTAAGAAATAACTAAAAATCTCGGCATTTAGTTGGTGACGATGGTATTGTGAGAATTGATGTCTCGACGAGCCCGATTATCCCGAGCACTACACATTCTACAGGTGAGGAAAAGCTATAGAAACTTACTAAATTCAAGGGTAGCTGCCAGTCAGGAGAAAACATTACTTCAATTGCTAAATTGAATAAAATTTCCTCTAACAAATCGATATTTTAGTGTCAACCCTGGTCTCTGTCAACGATTATTCCTCACTGGAGAGAAATCGAAAAATTCGGGTCCAATCCCCGAGGCCATCACCCACTACTGAACTTGTTGCCGACGTTTGAAGCTGGCTTCGAACGCTTCAGACGCTGAAGCTTGACAATATAAGCCTCAAATCGACGCTAAAACAATGGAAAATTACGAAATCTCGGCTTTGTCACTCTCCCTCTTCCTCCAAATCACTCTCGACCTTGTTGTTGATGTTTGAAGCTGGCTTCGCAGGCTTCAGAAGCTCAACTTTCATAAGAAAAAGCTGGAGTAAAGTTGCAAACGGCGCAAAGCTTCTCAATCGCGCTTTTATCCCTCCAAAGCTCCTCAGAAATTCTTGCTGATGTTTGAACTCGGCTCGCAAAGTTACAGAAGCTTAGCCTACATCAGCAAAAACCGAAGCAGACTTCAAAAACGAACAAAAGCTTCAAAATCTCGGTTTCCCAAGCTTTCCCCTCGAACCTCAAACAACAGCAACACCTGAAATCTACTTTAAAAACACCGAAAAGCTTCGAAATCTCTGCTAATCCATCCCTCTCCTCTCCTCCACCTTGCGGGTATACCTAATTATTCATATTGTGTGCACTTTGATTCGACTCGACGCGTTGCTCTCATTTTTATAAAGAAAGATTTATTTTAATCGTTGGATACGGTGTGACAAATTAAAAATGGATAGAAATGAAATGGGGGCGAGGGACTGGGAAATAGGGGGATAGGGGGCCAACCGGAAATGGCAAAGCACCACCATAAATTGGAAACAATTAAATTACGGGGCGGGATAACAAATAAGAGGGGAAATAGGGGCCGGTAAACGAGCAGAGATCGTTTGCGCACAGAGACAGACAGACAGTACGTGAATGTGTCAATGTGTGCTGCATCGAAACAATTAATGAGGGATCAGGGGGGTATGGGCTAATATCCCCTTCCCCATCCTCCCTGTCCAGCGGCTTGTTGTCCCCATCCGCCTCCTTGTTGTCCTCCTCCTTGTGGTGCTCCCCATCCGCCTTGTTGTGGTGCTCCTCCGCCCTGTCCTCCTCCGACTCCTCCCTGCGGCTGCTGTCCCCATCCGCCCTGTTGCGGCTGCTGCGGGGCTCCCCATCCGCCCTGCTGAGGCGGTCCACCCCAGCCTCCCTGAAAAATGGTAAATAAACATTGAATAAAAAATAAAATAAGGATCAAAATCGTACTGGGCCATTAGCGAGGGGATTTTACGTCGTTTTTAAGTACAAAAAAATTACGAAAATCTTCAAAATTTTGGATTTTTTGCAAAAATTTCGTTTTACTCTTTTTCGTTTTCAAAAACCATCAAAAATTTACAAATTTGTGGATAGATATAGCCCCCACCGCTAAAAGAAAAGGAACGCGGATAACCCTACGCTAACGCACCAGTACCGTTCAAATTTTAAACTTTTACACAATTTATACCTGCTGCGGGGCTCCACCCCAACCGCCTCCAGCTCCTCCGCCCTGCTGTGGTCCTCCCCATCCTTGATTGGCCCATGCGTTCTGTGGTCCTCCTCCGTATCCGCCAGCTCCTCCTCCACGGGGTCCACCGCCACGTCCACCACGGAATCCGCCGGGTCCTCCTCCACGGGGTCCGCCCGGTCCTCCAAAGCCGCCACGGCCAGTACGGTCGCCACGGAATTGACGGTCACGAGAGCCTTGGTCGAACTGGAAAAGCGGAAATTAGGACTTTTCTACGCAAAAATAAGACAGATTCGATTAGCCGTTCTTGTGCATTATCGGGGGTGAAGTTTTTTACAAGTGTCGATACGCAATTTATTAGTAAAATTTAGCTCAATTTATAGTACAAGGCTTTTTCAAAAACTCACAAAATTGTTCAAAAATTAGAAAATCGTCGTCGAAAAATCGATATTTTGGTATTATTTCGAAAGTTTTTGTTTTTAGAAATAATAAAAAACGCTGTTAGAAACGCTTCCTCTATTTTATTTCCAAAATTTGGAGACCAAGGTCAATAATCCAAGCGCCACCCCCGATAATGCACAAGTCCTTAAAAATTAGAAATTCAAACGATACCTTGGCCATCTCGTCCTTGCTGAGGCCCTTCTTGACATCACACCTCATGTCCTGGACGGTGTGGCTCTTGAGGAGAACGCATTTGTCCACGGCATCATAGTCGTCAAAATGGATGAAGGCGAAGCCGCGGATGCTGTCAGTGGCCTTGTCCTTCGCAATGTCTACCTAGACACAAAAGAAATTAAAAGAATTCGAGGCATCCGATACCTTTTGAACATTTCCATATTGGGCAAAGTATTCCTTGAGTGCCGCCTCAGTGTGGGCCTCCTTGATACCGCTCACGTACAGGCGCATCGTAGACACCTACAAAAGTCAGATAAATCCGGTCCTCTAAAAAAACTCCTTGTTTTCGTATTTTTTGCCAATAAATCCTACGCCTACAATTTAGAACGCTTTCCACGGTTTGTATGCAGTCCTAACGCGTTTTTAGTAAACTTTAGCTATGTTTAAAGCGCCAAAACATCCTAAAAAACTGTAAAATTTGAAATTTGGATCGAAAATCGGCAGTTTCTGAGCGAAAAATCGTTGATTGTATTTTTCAAACAAAATGTGTAAGTTTTCACGTCCACACGTTCAAAATAATACCTGCGAGGCTCCCTTATCGTTGGCGTCCTTCGGAACGGCGCGCTTGGCGTCAACCTTCTTTCCGTCGATCTCGTGCGGGCGGGCAGCCTGGGCGGCGTCAACCTAAAAAGCAAATCATCGCCGGAAATCCCAAAATACCTGAGCCATCGTCGCGAAAGTGACAAAGCCAAAGCCACGGCTGCGCTGCGTGGTCGGGTCCTTCATCACGATACAGTCGGTGATCTAAAAAGATAATACAAACAAAATAGAAAAGTGTATACCTCTCCGAACTGCTCGTAAAAGGTGCGCAGAGAGTCATCGGTGGTGACCGAGGCCAGGCCGCCGATGAAAAGCTTGCGGAAAGCCTCACCCTCCAGCTCGCTGTTGCCATTTCCCTAAAATCAACATTTTAAAAAGCAAATTTAACGCCAAAAATGGGATAGTAAAGGTTATAAGGATAAGGCGACCTTAGATCCTATATCCTATACCTTTAAAAGTCTTGAAAACTGATTAAAACAAGTAGAATCTTTATAAAAAAACCCAAATCTTTAGATAAAAAATCTAGATTAATCAACTCACTTCAGCCACCATCTTCAGTTCTCGAAAGCCCTAGTGTTCACACTTAATGGAAGAAGAAGATGGGCTGTCTCTGTCAATCCTTAAGGCTCCGCTTAGACCTTAGGCTTAAGCTCTAGACACGGCTCTTCGATAGAGAGAGAAGCTCTGAGGCTGTTTGTGGATGGAACAAACCCTGAAAACTAAGACTAGAATACGATACTCAAATATTCTCTCCACCGCCTCTCCTCAAGAAAACGAAAACGAAATAAAACTATAATAATAGTAAATCGAATCGAATTGAAGAACGGGTGAAGCCGGGAGGGAGCCTGGATCTCCTGTGAAATCACTATTCTAGAGGAAAATACCGCCTAAAATGGGATTGTAATCATCAAATTCATTGGGACAATACGGGGGCATGCAACCACCAAAAAAATAGGAGAACCGGGTCAAGGTCAGGGTGGGTTTTGCGAGCCCGACAGGCCAAAGTGGTCAAATTTGAGTTTAAACATGTTTAGGTAAGCAATAAGCATGAAAACTGACGGAAAATAAGCTGAAAACCGGTTAAAAAATAGAAATATCGATTTACTTGCGCGTTTTAGAGCTAGGATACCGAATTTAGGGTTTTTGAAACCTTTCTAAAGTGATAAGTAGCGAAAAGTGCTCAAAAAAACCATATAAAACCTCTAAAAGTTAGCAATATCGATTTTCCATCGATTCTAAAGCCAGGTGCACAAAATCTTGCGAGGGATTAGGGCTAGGATAGCGAACTTATAGTTTTACAAACGTCTCTAAAGTGTATGCACGTCAAAAGCAAACAAAAAAGGGCTAAAACCTCGTAAAAATGGCAGGATATAGATTTTTGATCAATTCTAAAGTCGCGCTATACAAGAAACATCCCAAAACATTGCTAGGATAACTAACTTATCGCTTTAAATACTTTAGAAAGCGTATCCCCACTAAAAGCTAAGAAAAACAACATAAAAACTCGTAAAAACTGCAAAATATCGATTTATGATCGTTATGAAAGTTCTAGCAAACAAGGGCTCGCAAAAACACACCCAAAAATTGACCGCGGTTCTAGTAATGGCTAGTTAATAAGAAATATACAAAAAGAACGGGATTAGTGATACCTGAATCGATGATCGGGAAGAGTAGTAAGCTAGTGGGGATAGGGGAAGGAAGGGAAGAAATCGAATGGACGGGGTCGCGCGCCCCTTGGGGAACAGAGAGGGACGGGCAGAGGACAGACAGGCAGACATGCAGAGGAATGTCTCTTTCTCTTCCTCCCTCCCACACTCTCACCCCCTCTAACCGTCAGAGTCTCCCCTCGTACTGGTTTGTTGGATGAGTGCCAGGGGCGGGGATGCACCGTAGCATTGAGGGCGAGAGATAGGGAGAGGGAGTGAGAGAATTAGAGACCTTGGCCACATTGACCTTTTGATGGTGGGCCCTAGCACGCACCAACGGGGGAAGGAGCGGAAGGAACGGGGTCTAGAATGGGGGGAAGAAGCCTAAGAAGAAGCCAATAATCTGGCTAGACACGCTCAACTAGCCGGGCTAGCATGTCTAAAATTGAATAGAGGGCGGATTTAGCTTGATTTGGAAGCTTTTCAGGCAGATCGTAAATTTAGAATGTCACTTTTCAAGGTTTTAAATCTTCTAAAAAACGGCCAAAAGTCTCTTAAAAGCTTCGAAAAATGGAAAGAGCCCATAAAGTGGTGGGAAAGTGGGTGGTATGCATGGAATGACTAATCGGATGCTGGGAAGTATAACAGAACGCTGCAGATGGCCCACCAGATGGCCGATTCGATGTTTTGTGACCTGGAGCGGGGCGTAAAGGTCAAGGGTTCAGAGCGCGGTCTCTAGAAACGAGAATGTTTCGTGGTTTTTAGCATTAATGGGAGACAATTAAGCTGATGCGCGGTATCTTTCAGCGTTCGATACTTTAATGAGCCGCTATAGGGCTACTTTTTCGAGCTTAATCTATCGATTTCCGGTTAGAAAATCCAATCTTTCGGTTTTGGGATACATTTATCGACACAAAAATCATCACAGCATTCGAGAGAGAATTATGGCCAAGCCAAATCACAGGCAAAAGAAGAAAAGCTGACAACAGAGGGGCCCGTATTCACATTGTTGCATTGCCTAGAGGGGGAAGGGTAGAGACGAGAGAGCCTAGATAGAGAGAGGGCTAAAAGAGCGAGAGATATTGCTATATTATGTATGAGAAACGATAAGCCATGAGACAATGAAATAGAAGAGAAATATTGGGTAGATGACGAGAAGACGCTTCTTCGGCGGCTGCATCTCAGCCAGGAAACCCATCGCCGCTGAAAAACACGAGCTTTTTAGGTGGAGTAAGCGATGAAACCCGGATCTTGTTCGTTAGTGGGGATTGTATAGCGTATACCTAGTGTTTTTGGTAGTTTTTCATCAATAAAAATGCATAAAAACTCTTTCAAAAAAATCGAAATTTTGATCATTTATCATATATTTTAAGCAAAAAATCAAAATTTTCGAGAAATTTGTCATGATTTTTACGAAATTTGTAAACTTAAAAACGGCGGAAAAAGCTTTCAGATTTGTTCCTTTGGATAGAATTCTGTTTTTACTATTACTAAGCGTAAAAATTTGCAAAAATTCTTAGAAAACCAAAAATATATAGCTTTTCCAAAAATATTCGATTTTTCGGTCAAAATGTCAGGTTTTTAAACATTTTTTGAGCTGTCAAAATTGATTTCCGGTTGAAATCGAGCTAAGTTGACTAAAACCATTATTAAAAAAACTATACTGTGGCTATCTGATTCGTGTAAAAAATATTTTTAGAAAAGGACAAAATTCGACCAGTTTCCATCTCGTAACCAAATAAACCGAACCATAAGTGGCCCAGGAGAAGCCGAGAGCGGTGAGACCGAGACGAAGAAAGAAGAGACGGCCAGAGAGGAGAACCGAGCACAGAAGAGCGGATATTGTAGGGGGGAAGCAGACAGTAGCCGATCACGCACAGAGATTGGAAGAACGAACTGCAACGGGTTGTTCGTCTAGCAATATTCAGCCTACATTTCTCCTCCCAACAGTTTGATGTTCAACGTGACGACGATCGAGCCGAAGAACGTCAGGGAGAACACCTGCGTGAATTGAGGGGCCGCGTCACCGCCCTGGCTGTGCAGAAGGCTGCAAAAGGAGTATAAAACTTTATACTACAAGTATTATAGCTTTTTCTTGGCTTTGAACTACAATCTGGCTGTCAGTTATCCTAATTTTTGACGAAACTACAAGCTACAGTTCATTATTTTTGTATTTTTTTTAGTGCAAACTACAAGCTGGCAGTCACTTAAACTTACTTCGAATTTATTAAACTACAAACAACAGATATTTCTGAATTTCTGTCACTTCAAACGACAATCTGGCTGCCAGTGGGCATAATTTTAAACTACAAGCTACGATTTTTCTAGGTTGTCAGAGCCAAAATACTTCATAAAAACAGCCAATTTAGACGATCTGTACCTTAAAAACGATATACCAACTTACAGTGACAAAAAGACACAAATGAAGAGCGGTCCCCAGAGATCCCATTCCTTGAGAAGCCTCTTCCGATCCGATGACCCAGGGAAGAGCACGTGCTGGAACTTCGCACCCACCGTACGCACGTCACGCCTCTGCAAATTACAACATTTTAACGTCAGTTAGAAGTTTTAGCGTTCAAAAAGTTAAAAACGTACGACAGTATCCCTGATGGGCTCCTCGAGCGTGTCGAAATCCGTGTGCAAATCGACGTCCTGCATCCGAGAGCCGCCCGTTTTGCTACTGGATGACATCGAGGCGATACTGCCTAGAATCACATCCCGTTACGGCATGTAAATTTATTTAGGATTGCTAATTTATGTAAATTTATGGAATTGTCTGAATTCTAACTCACATATTCAAATTTTTGCTCAAAATCCAAAATGTTGTCGTTTTTAGAGGTATTTACAGCCTTGAAAATGTCGGACTCTGATCTTCCCAACTTTTTGATTTAAATTGTTTTATATCGCGTAATGTGATCCAGCAACCCCAATTTTCCCTCCAAAATACCTTTAATTTCACAAACTGACTCACCGCTGAGAAAATCCTGTGGTACTTCGCCCGTTGCTCCCATCTAAAAACGTGATATTTCGGCGTTTTTATCGATATTTTCTGATTTTTACTTTTCTAAAATGACTGTATCAAAGCTCTTCTATGTATCAAAAGCATTCTTGTAAACCATTTGGCTATAACCACAAAGATTTGTGGTTTTTACTGTTATTTTGTCGATTTTTAGCCCATTTCAAATCCAGTTAAACTCACAAAATCGATAAAAGTGGCCTGTGGAAAAGCTGAAGAAGCCATTTTGGGAGATGAAGCTGAAGATGATGAAGTTTCTTGTTTGATACGGTCTCCCTCTCTTCTCTTCTCCTCCTGTCAGTCTATGCCACGATATATAGGGGAAGAGAAGGATGGGGTGGGGGTACGGTGGATGGGTCGTCATATACGAGGTCCTGCGGGACGGTAGTCTGACTTTAGGGCCAAAATGTCTAGTAAATCTGAAAAAAAGCCGGAAGCCGAGGTTTTCAAGGCGGGGCAAGCTAGCAGTGATCATTTGCAAGCAGAACTTGAGTTTGGTAGCCTGGCAGAGATTATTGGGGAGCCACAAAGGGCGAAAAATTCTTCAAGGGAGCCGTGTACAACTAGCAGAGACCGCTTGGGAAAGCCAAAAACCTGATAAATCTCCTCTCCGGCACCAAAATGGCAAGCTAGCAGTGATTCTTTGAGGAATAAAGCTGCCTGTAGCTAGGTTTTCATTCTCCAAAGGTCTCTGCTAGTCAATTCACCTAGGCAACTAGCAGAGATCCTTTCGGAACGCCTTCCTCCCTTGTCAGCCGGCTATTTCAGTGCATTTCCTGTCAATTCGGGGCTTCTGCTTGCCAATATTGAGTCATGGCTTATCTGCCTTGTCCCCCTCCCTCTAAATACCCTTGTATCATGGAAAAGCCGAAAGAAGAAAGGACCCGCAAATTCCTGAACATGCCTGAGAACACAAATTCCAAACGGAATCCGCCAGATTTCGAAACGAGCGTGTAATTTTGAGTAATCTGGAGCCTACGCTATTTTTTCCGGTCTGCAACTCTGTGCAAGGGCCTACTGTAGCCTAAGCCCCGCCCCTTTTCATATTATCTATCGGCCACTCCCCGGAAAGAAGTGGAAAGAAGCGAAAAGGGGAAGAAGATTACTCATTCACCGTCTTTCTCTCTAGTTTCTACCTATTTTCTATTTTCTGGCAGTATTTCGACAATTTCGACAGCTACCGGATAATTTTTCAAATCCTGTGCGATCTGGTCCAGAGGAATGCTGCCGATTTTTAGGTTGATATTGGTGGTAAGTTGATTTTACTGTGATCTTAGCTATTTTTATATAGTTGTTTGTATTTTTAAGCTAATTTGTAGTTATTGCTGTTGGCCTTGACTTCTTTTTTTATAATTTTCCTGTTTTTTCCACGAAAAAATTTAACTACCGTTTTTCGATTAATTTTAGCTGGTTCTAGGAATTGATAGCGAAACAGGTTGTTCTTTGAGCTACTTTTTAGATGTTGTTTCCTATTTTTAACGGAACGTATCGTAATGTAACGTATTAGATCTGTTTATTTTATTTTTTAGCATAGATTTTGGTAATTTTCCGACCATTTTTTTCTAAAAACTTTAATTACAGTTTGCTTTCTAATTTTGGGGGTTTCTGGCTATCTAAAATGTTCTGTTGAACAAAGCGCTTTCTTTCCACTTTTCCTTGACCTCAAAACTTTAATAAAAACCGCGCAGGCAAGATTATCCAGCTAGAATTATGCGGATCTTATGACTCAACCTCGTTATTTGTGGGCAAACGGCTTTTGTAGCCGAGTTTTATGCCTCTAAAAGTGCGTATTTTGTACATTTATATACTTTGCACGATTGATGTTGACAGATAGGATATTGAAAACGGTTGAACGGCACCAATACCGCATCAATTCTTTCAAACTTCATATTTTGAAGCAAAAAAACCCGTGTGAAAACCTAAACATTAAAAAAGCTATTTAGAGCGTGATTTTTGAGGATTGGCAACGTGTCACTCGGCCCAAATTCCCTTATAGTTTGTTTATCTAAACTGCTTAAAAATCAGCTAATCACCTATAAGACAAGATAATACAAATGAAACCCGGGGGAGGAGAGGGATAAGCCGGGGGAGGAGGAGACCCACTTTTTGGCCGGAAGAAGATAAGGGGAGGGAACGAAGCGGAAAATTGGTTTTTAGAAGAGGAAAACTATAAGCTACACAAATAAAAGATGTGGATAATTTTAAAGGAACTTGCAGGTCAACGCCTAGCTAAAATGTGTGGTTTTCAGGTTCTATTTTGCACGAGCTTGACGACGGCTTGGCGGCACACACGGGAAAATGGTAAATTTTTTAGCTAAATTCAAAGGAGGAACGATTCGACGCAAGGGCAAGCTAGCAGAGATTCTTTGCGGAAAAATCAAGCTAAAAACATTGGAAATCGCTAAAAGATCGGACCGTAAACTAGCAAATACCATTTGGAAAACAGAACTTTTCACAACAGGGCATGCTAGCGGAGATACCTTTCGAAAAAAAGCCAAAACGGTTAGAAAATGAGAAAAAGTTAAACGGGGGGCTAGCAAATGCCACTCGAGAAACCAGCTCTTCGATTCCGGGCACACGAGCAGGCATGCTTTGCGTAAAAAAAGACGTTAAAAACGTTAAAAATAGCCAATACTTAGTAATTTGTTGAGGAACAGGGTAGCAGAGATCAATAGGGAATCCAAAAAATGGACGTTTTCCAATGCCTTTAGAATGCAAATGCCTAAACCCTGACACAATCACCCGAAAACAAGAAGATCTGTCAAATCGAGTGGAAGGAATGAGGACGGAGCTGAAACCGAGGATTGAAGCATTAAGGAGAGGGGCTACAGGTACCCATACCCAATTTATGAGGTTTATTTACATTTTTAGAGGAACTGCACGATATCCTCTCAATCACCAAATACCGTATCCTCCGCCAGATTCGTAAAATACACGATCCATTAATGGGATGTCCCGATATTCCCGAGAGAATTTCCACATTTTTTGTTCAGATTGAAGATCATCTTTTTCGACCACAGGTAACAGTTTTGGTAGTTTGTAGTTTTTCTAGTTTGCAGTCTGGCCGACAGTTGAGCGATTAAAGAATATCAGCTAGCTGTCTGACCGCCTTTCAAATGGAATATTCGAATGAAAGGTCTTTTGCAGGAATTGATGGATGGATGGCTTCATCGTGCCCTGGAAGATCTCGAGACCTCTCTCTTCCCCTCTACATTTCTCTGTCTCTCTGCTGCTCTATGCCCTCCGAATAGGGAACATCCTTTTGTTAATTGTGTCGCCAAGGTGGGCAATTGCTCATTTTCACTTTCTTTTTTTAGCTACCCAAAATATGAAAACATTAGAAAAAATACAATTTATGCCATTCTTTCGATCATGTTTCGATACCAAAATGAAAAAGTGCTTCTCATTCCGTCGTACTGTAGCTTGAATCGATAATTTTTCTGCTTTAGCTAGCCCCTCAACTCGCCCACCAACTTTTCCACAGCTCCTCCCATCAACGCGATGTCGTACGGTAGGTGAAAATCGGTTTTTTTTGGGTTTGAAGATTACGGTAGTTTTCGGTAGTCGGACTGCTAGTTAGGCTACCGTAACCCTTTCTATGGTGGTATAATCTCCATATTTTGGGTTTTCCCGCCTAACTGGGTGGTAATTAGTCTCATGTCGTCATGTTCCCTCCCCCCATTTCCGCTAATTCGACTAATTCGATTAACTCACCCCCCCCTGGTTGAGATAATTTTTGACACCACTAGACGACAATTTGATATGGCATCTAGCCGGTTGGATGGCGCCAATATGGGGGGAGGGGCCAGCGAAATTCGAAATCTGCAAAAACACTCGGTTTTTAGCGATTACAGGGGTCGAAAAAAATTGTGCAAAAACTTAACAATATGCCATTTTCCAAGATAACCTTACAAATCATTAATGTAACGAATTGGCTCTTTGGGAACCAAAATGTCCTCAAGCAGCGCTGGACGATAGCTCTCTGAAAGTGTCGAATTTCTTAAAGAATTACTGCTAGCTTCCCCCAGATCGTAATTTGATGAAATAAATAGATTACATAGAGTTCCAGGAAAGCGTAAATTTTGGACTTTCCGGATCTCAAATAACCTCTGCTAGTTCGCCTCCTGTTAAAGGTACTGGAAAGCCAAAGTTTTTCGACTTTTGTCATCCAAAATGATCTCTGCTAGCTCGCCCCAGGAAAACATAGAAACCGCGGATTTACGCATCCTAAATAACTCCTGCTAGATTGGCGTTGGCTAGAGAGTTATCAGAAAAGCATCCAGCCACCTGATTAGCGTATCCCAAACAAGTCTCTGCTAGTTAGCGACGAATTAAAGGTACTCAAAAGCTAAAATCCACCACTTTTTGTGTCCCAAATGATCTCTGCTATTTGACCAGAAGACTCCAAAGTCCAAATGTTCAGACTATCGTCTCTCCTTTCCCGTATCCGCTCCTTCCTCTCCTCAATCGACACATTAATGGAAGAGACAACGAGAAGCCACTCCTCCCTTCCCATTCCCTTTAATTGTACAGCCCCATTGGCACAGATCACAGATTGTCATCAATGTCATACAATGGGAATATCGTATTGCAGGTCAGTTAGTAAGAATCTGGCATTCAGGGGGAACTGGAACAGGAAAAAGCTCAATTTTCAGATACCCCTGCCTGGCCGCGGCCCGTTCATGTTTCTGGGAATTACTCCCTAAATGGAATGAGCAGATCAAGATTCTCTTCAATACACAGTTTGAGGCTGAGGATTTTGATGTCGTAAGTGGATCGGAAGGGGTTAAAGGGACTGGGACAGGTCAATAGCTTCTCGATAACTGGCTGTCGGACTACAAACTACAGTACAAACTGAGTTTCGAGCTCTTTATCGGCAAGATTTATATGGCGTAATTAGTGGTCCGTTGGACTTCACATTATTGCATTAACTAGCACAAATTCCACCTAAATCCGTTGAAATTTAATCGATTTAAAGTCTAGTTAATTTCATGGTTTTAACCCTGTAATTACGGCATGAAAATCCGTTATTATACCTCTGATTAATGCGCAAATTTTCATATTTGCAGCTAGAAGGCCTTGTGATCGATTGGATGACATATGGCTCAGAAAAGAGTCTCTCAACTGTCGCTTCTTCTGTTGTCAATCTGTGTGGAACAATTGATATTGGATCGAATGGATTGGCATTGACACCAAAACATCATCAATTGGAAGGGATTGGACCGAGGAAGGCTGGCAGTAACACAAAGGCTCTACTTAATAAGGTTAGTGGCTAAACTGGTATACTGGCATTACGGGGTACCTGGATTATAATACCGTAATCCATTAAACCCATTAGTTGACCCTTGGAATGACCCCCCAATGGCTCCTCCACTCGCCAATTAGCCGGAAAAACAATTGGCTGGTTGGATTGGGTGTGATTGGACGTTCCGGAGGAACACATCCGAACGGCTGTTAGCTCTAGAGATTCGATTGTTGCACTTGTTCGCTCTCTCCCTCTCTCTCGCTCTGTCTCTCTCTATCGCCTCTTATTTTTCACTGAATGATTTGGTGGTAGAGAAAGCTGGGATCTGAGAGTCTCAATCCTTTCCCAACCGAACACCTGTTTCTCATTTCCGGCTAAATACTCGAAGGGAACGGTCGGCTTGATCTCGGAAAAAATGGGAGTAATAGAATTCCCAAAAGCTCTTTGCCAGCTAGCCTCATTTTCGGGTTTTCAGAGCCAGGAAAATTCCCCAAAAGTTCAAGCTGGCCTCAGTGAGCGCCTCAAAAATCGTCCCAAATGGCCGTTGCTAGCCTGCCTCTAGCTTTGGCTCGGATTCCCAGAGAAATCCTGCTAGATGTCCCTCGCTGACCAAGAAAATCAGCCTAAACAGTCTCGTCTAGCTTGCCAAAAAATAACAGAATTTCTCAAAAAATGTCTGCTAGCTCTCTAGAGGACTATCTGATGCTCCCTATCTATCGACAATACAAATATCCTAAAGAATCCCTGCTAGCCCGCCTAAAATCAAATTTCAGCTGCCCTCCTTGTTCGATCGTTGGTCAACAGAAGAAGCCTCCCTCTGTTCTCTCCATTCTCGTGGTATCTATCCATGTTGGGATGGACAGAAGATTATACAAAGGTATACATTTTGAAGGATCACTAGGTATTTAAAATGGATACCATCAGTCGGAGTAGCTACGCTGTCTTTTTGGCAAATCGTAAATTTCTATAAATACGGTTTTTGCTTTGAAAAGAGTAATTTCTGCCCTTTGACCCCGCAGATCTGCTATATTTTGTCTCGGCAAAGTCTCGGCAAGACTTCCGAAGCAATACAAAATTCAAAAAAAGGAGCAAGAGAGAGAGTGAGAGAGAACGGAAAAAAGCCGGTGTTTCCCACATAAAAATAGCCGGAGGGCTCGGAGCTATAAAATAGCGGCTTGGCGAGTTGCGTGAAAGTACTGGCGCCATCATTTGAATCAACAAATTGCGAATCTCCCTGGCTAAAATTCAGAAAATACAGTATTTTGGGGCCAGAATCCAAAAAAAGTTAGGAAAACCTGAATTTTTCCAAAGCTCTTCGATACAGTGTAACCGAAATTCTCGTGGGCTTTCTAAATTTTAGATTTTGAAGGATCACTAAAAGGAATTGAAGGATCTAAAATTACTCCTAAAAGCCACAGTCGAACTTCTCAGGGTTACTTTAGTTTCGGAATTTCGGAAGCTTGAAAATTCACAAAAACTGAGGTACATTTATTTACGATAATTCCACTATTTTCCGAAATAGATCTTGCTCATCGCCTTCGTTTTCTCCATTCTCCAGTAACCCCATTTTTTGCCTTTTTTTAGCTAAAAAAAGGTAGAGAAAGAGGGCGATAGTGTGTGTGAGAGAGAGAGAGAGAGAGATGGCAGCCCGCAAGCCCCTCCCCTTCCTTCCTTCCCCCCGAGCCGTCCTTTCTGTGTGTAGAAATGACCATTCTATTCCCCTCCATTCCTATGCACAAACTTTATTGTTACCCATTTTTAATTCTTCTACCATTTGTCTATGTTTTAGAGGCCAATATACAACTGTAAGTTACCTAATAAATACCTAAAATATTTCTAAAACATTTTAAAGCCCGAAATTTGGTTTTAAGAGGATTTTTAGTGTATTTAAAGGTGAAAAACCGTTTTAACGGGACGATAACGTCAAACCTATGCATTTTGGGATGCGGCGTACGTTAATTGTCTATTTACAGACCAGAGCAACCCTTGACAAAAGATGTTGGACGGCATCCATCTGCCTCCGCTTCATCTTCAAATTCGGATGGATCACAGAGGAGACTGATACCTTTTACGGATCAGGTTCGTATTAGCGAAACTTTCATTTCTATGTCATTCTTTCCCTCCTTCTTTCACTCTCTCACTGGCTCTATCTCTCGCTGTCCCGTTTCTCGCGCTTTTAATCTTTCGTATTTCCGAGAAACCTTTTGTCGCTTTCATTAATTTTAATTCACCATTTTCTTAACTGAACCCTCGAAATCTGGCGATATGGGCTTTTTTCTCTTTCCAGTTCGACCCCTCCTTTCCCTCCCTCCGATGTGTTATTTTAGTGATTGACAGCTGAATGATCCTTCTTTTCCACTCGGTTCTCACCCCTGATTCCCGTTTTCCCAGCAAAAAAAATTGTGATGACTGGGCTCCCCCTTTTCCCGGAATTTCTAGACTGTTTAGAATCGTCCGAGAATTAGCGAAAACATAGGAAAAAGTCTGGATTTATTTTTAAACAAATACGATAATAACAAAATTGGTTGAAATTTTAGCCATTTTCCGGCTGTCCACACCCATTTAAAATCAATATTTTATTGGGGGTTTGGATACTTTGACCGGGAAGCCAGGTGTCGCTTTCTTCCCTCTTTTTCTTCTACCCTCCCTGACCCAATGTGATTAATGAATGTTACTGGTAAGAAATAGAGTGGAAAAACGCCAGAGTGATGTCTGTCTGTAACCTTATTTCTATCTGTCTCTCTCACTCCGTCTCTCTCTCACTCTCTCTATCTCTCTCTCTCTCTATCTCTTTCTATCTCTCTCTATCTCTCTCTCTCTCTCGCGTCATCTCGAGCTTCTTCCCCCCTTTGACCCCAAAACGAGGCGCCGAAATTAAAAAAAACGCTGGTGGCATTGCCCGCGGGGAAGCGTCAGGCTTTTCCAAACGAGAAAAGAGGCCACTCTTTAGACAGATAGAATGGACCCACCGGAATTGCAGCCCAAAAAAGGGAAGGGAGTGGGTGCTGGGTTGGACTACCAAAAAGGGGGGACCACACACTCGATTCTGACGCCCAGGCGGGACCTAGGAGGCGAATTTTGGGAAAACAGGAAATGAGGCTTCTAACCCGAGGAAATTCAGCGATTCCGTTACCCCACGGTACGATACTACGACCTCGTAGAAAGTCGGCTTTTTCCGAGACGCTACGGCTAGGCGGGTGGTGGAATTACGGAAAAAACGTACTAGTTATGGGGCGCAATTCGGAGCTTTCCTCGAAAATTTCGGTATTTCATTAAGACCAGGGTTGAAAAGCCGCTTCGCGACTTTTCAGCCCTGGCCCCGTCTGATCCCATGATATTCGGCCCTTTGCATAACTCACGCGATTTTCGATGACAAAAAATGAGAAACGCGACCTCTCTTCTATTATATAGGCTACCGTAACTTCCGGAATATGCTAATTGTTTCCTAACAAAGAGGGCGCTCGATTTTTCAACAAAAAACTTAATTTTAACATCGAAAACACCGAATTTTTGAACATTTTATGAGTGTGCAGTCATCCCACGGCCATTACGCACCTAATGAGGTATAAAACATACCCCTAACTGCCCCCCCTTCTTGAGTTACTGCCGGAACACGCTGCGGAGTTGCAAATACACACATACACACACACACACAGACACTATTTTTTTATATATAGTAGGATACTATGGACGTATCGTAACTTATCGCATACATTCCATTTTTTGGGGGGTTTTAAAGGACCGGATAAAGAGTACAATCGATCACTCGAGATAAGGATGAGGCATTGCGGATCGGTCACGGCAGAATCCATAAGAAATCCACAGCCAAGAAAACTCATTTTTGTGTCTTGTCCGGTCCTTTAAAAGGAACCAAGCTGTCTGTTCGGCTGTCTGTCTGTCTCTCTCTGTCAATCTATCAACCAGTGACAAATTGAGTGTTGTTGGAATAGACGAGAGAGAGAGAGAGAGAGACAGACAGATGATTATGCAAATGTCCATCATCCAGTCAGCTAGTCGGTCCATATTTCTTGTTCTCACAAAAGAACACTCTCCTCTAGCTCGCCCTCCAGAATGGCCATTCCCTATTCCAACAAAGAAGAAGATGGGCCCTCAGGGGATTGATAGATGCCCCTCTACTAAGCCTATCTCTCTCTCTCTCTCTCTCTCTCTCTCTCTCTCTCTCTGTTCCCTATAAAAGCTCATCTCCACCTGGCACCACCATCTTCTAGCATCTACTAGACCGAATAGAGCGGCGAATAAAATGGGTTTTTCAAAGGGGGATAAAAGCGGCCACTTTCCGGGCCAATCGAGTAGAGTAGAATAAGAACCGGAAACGTGAAAAAGTGGCCTCCAAGCGCGCTAAATTAATTTTTTAAATTCAAACTAAAATTCTCGATTTTCTGGCTTCAAGACGCCTTTAAAACAGTTTGATCACGATAAAATGCCCCGTTCGATTCAATTCTCCATACTTTTTGAGCCCCAATTTTCGGATCTATGAAAGAAGTTCGTGCACATTATTATTTTCCACAATCCAGAACGACCAGCGGCACTCACAATAGCAAAGATTCGTCGTCTTCTATTCGTCTATTCAGGTCCGTCGAGCATGAGACTCGATTTCTTCTTGCTCCTCGTCTCCTCTTTTGCCACTTCTTCCCCTCAAAAGCCCAGGAAAATCCCGAAATTCTGTCCGTTTCTTTTGGTGTCCCCGAGTCCTCTTTCGGTTTCAAAAAAGCCTGGAAGAACCTACGAAACAAAGGGTAGATATGAACTTTCAAAAGAGCTCTCAAATCGCGTTTCTAGTGGTTTTTTTGGCTGAAAAAGAACGCCAGATTATCGATTACACCATGATAATTCTTTCGAGCGTTTTCTGACTAAAACTAAAGCTATAGAATTCATTACGCTATGGAAATAGACCCCTGAGGAATATAAGCTTTCTAAAACTATTTCTTTTTTGGAATAATTTTTTGAACGCCTTGAACTCGTTGAACGCTTTGAATTTCAGCTCCATCTATCTAGAGCCAGTTTTTCTAGGAAAAGCGGCAAAATGAAAGTCATAAGCCTTTTTTGCGGGGAAGACAAAGCGGGTGGGTAGGGCAGAGCTCCTGAAAAAACGTTTCTCCCAGCGACCCGTAATCCTGAAAGTGACCCCCAGAGACGACGGCTTCAGGGTTTTTTGAACCGCCATTCAATTTATCATCACTCCCCGGAAAACGCCTTGACCTACACCATGCGTTTTTTAGTAAAAATTCAACTGGAAAAGTCCAATACGCTAAAAAACGTCCTGAAAGGCCAGAAAGCAAAAAAACCTGCATCTATCCCGGGAACGTCATTTTTAATCTTTGCGTTTTTCTAGGTAGCCGCCGGCCCTCAATTCGAGGGTTCATTCCAGCCATTTCCGGATGATGAAGATCTGGAGGGGAGTGGCGATGTATTTGAGGAGTTGAAGGACGCTATCACGCCTGGTGGGTCCATCTTTTAGCAGAAGCTGTTATAAAACATCAAAAAATGCACTAATTACGTGTGTAAAAAATGGCGCTTAATCCGCCAGTATCCTTAGCTAACTTTTGGAAGTATTAGTAGACTTTAAAAACCCGTATTTTGCAGCGTAATTCTCAAAATTAAATGGTTAAAACGGGCTAGAAATAACCCGGTATCGCTCTATCTAGCGAAAAAGTCAAAATGACGTTCCAGTCCTTCTAAAAGTGTCCATCAACGCCTAAAAAATACCTCTGGCTAGCTGCATAAATAATCGCCGAATTTTTTACCGGAAACTCTTAATTTTCGGCATAATTTCAGATCTAAATCCCTGAAAATCCCGTCAAAATAGTCCAGTATCGCCCTAATTCCACCCCTCTAAATCTGCACTCGACCCGAAACGAGGCGCTAATCACCTAATGGCCCCCATCAGCCCCCGATAAATAGAGGATGGGCGGAGAATGGGTGTGAAATGCAAAACGGACGATTAGCGAGGAGGATAGGGGGATAGAGGGGATGGAGATGACCTTGTTTCCTCCCCTTTTGCACCCACTGACAACCCAACACCAACCAAACAATCCATCCAATACATCCCAAAACATCGCCCCGGTCCGAAGGGATTGAATAGAATGGGTAGGGTATCCACGGCCCGATGGATACCTGCCAAAGAAAAAGCGGGGCGAGGTAAAACTTGACCGCCAAAAGAACGCGAAACACCAATTGGTTGAAGCCAAGGTCAGAAATGTTGAAAAGGCGAAGGAAAGGCGTACCTGGCTGGCTTCTGGTAGATCTAGGCTTTACAAGCTTAAAATTGTGGTAAAAACCCTTTTTTGTAATTAGAAAATGAACACAACGTCCCCAGAAACTTGAGAAACGGGTTAATAATTGAAGCCAGGGCTAAAAATGTCGAAAAAGAGGGCAAAAGCCTTAATCGGATAGATTTCCAGTGTTGCTAGCTGAAAGAAAGTTTAAGAATCCGAGATCTGAACTTTTTTTGCGCCTAAACATGAGTGCAGTTCCTTCTAAATAGCAAAAATATAACCCAAAATGCATCTTAGCTTATTTAAATGTTTAACTAAACCGATTTCCGGCTTGCCTAGGCTTCGAAAAGTTTAAAAAGCGACCAAATAAACGATTTTGACTTAAAAAAATAATCCAGCTAACGCAGAAAGCTCGGAAAACGATAGAATAAACGGGAAAACAGCGCGAAATATGCGAAAAATTAACGGTTTCTGGCATAAAATCCCTAAAAACTACAAATAACCCAAAATTCAATAAATACCAATTATTCTATCACTTTTCCAGGCACCCAACTGACCTATCCACCATCGGCAGATCGAACAAATCAGGAAAAAGCCGCGAATCCGCCCGCGAAAGTGCCGGAAGTCGCGAAATCAAGCCCTCCGCATCACTTCCCATCAATTCTTCTGGCTTCTTCTCTTGTTGTATTGCTGATATTCCCCTAAATCTGTAGTCAAAACCATGCAATTCTCTCCCCACCGTCGTGTTGCCATTATCCGGTCGCTTGTCACTGCAAAACATTCTTCCAAATACGGGTTTAGCCTTTCTAAACGTTTCTAAAAATAGTTTTACAAGTTTTACGTTGTTTTTTTCCAGCTTTTAAAACTCTGTTTAAGCTCGAAAATCTTTATTCTGCTCGGGTCCCAGCCTTCGCGCAAAAAAATCAACATTTTTTTGTTATTATTTAGCGTTTTTATCTATTTATGCCACCACTAAACTTGATTCGCCGCCAATATATTAGTGCACAAAAAAAGAAATAAAAAAACTATCGTTACAGGCAAAAAAAAACACGGAAAATGCCAGTACAAAGCTCACAACATAGACAAGAAAATGAGGAAATCACAAACTGAGAAAAAGATAGGGAGATTAGATTCGAATTATAATCACAGAAATGGCACACAGGGAATGGAATAAAATTACAAATTACAGTAGGGAAATACAGAAATACATAAATGTACAGACAACACAGACAAACAGGGGCCGAGATTCGCTTCAGATTTCGGATTATTGGCCGCCGCCCATCGCTCGCAGCTGCTCGATGAAACTGGAAAAAGGGTTTGAACTTTTCTTCTTTTTGAACACTTTTTCTATAAATCCGAAAATGAAGTTATCAATGGTCAAAGTTAATAGTTTTTCGCCTAATTACTAAATTTCGAGCCGAAAGATTACCTGAGAATTTAGACAATTTTAGTTTCGAGAAATTCGTCGAAAAATCGGTGGTTTTTTCCCCTCTATTAATTAAATTTTCAGCAATTAGAAATGGAAAAACTTTTTTACTCAAACCCCCGGACCCTCGGGAATTACACCTGCAACAAGCACCATCGTTCCCAAAGAATCTCTGCTAGCTACCCGCTTTCAAATTCTAAATTAAAGCTTTTCCTTACCCCTTAGTGTTGAGCATGTGCGTCGTAGCCAACAGTATCGCCGGCCCCCCAGATTGTAGCCGTCGCTCGTTAGCAGCTCGAACATGGAATAACTAAAATAATAAGTTTATTCATTAAAAATCCTATAAAAGTTTGTACCTCTTGATACGTGGCCCCGCCCACCATAAAGATGATGATGTTGTCGACACGGGGCCTGAAAAATTAAATTAAAAATTGACGAAATTAAAAATTTATTTATTTGCATTTTGAAAAAATTTTAAAATTCCAGAATTCGATTCTTAGTAAAAACGTACACAAATTCGGATGAGGCATGCTTAGGGTAGAGCTGCTCGTTGACCTTTCCCCTTGAAATGGCGTCAATTGTCTGTAGAAGGAATGGGGTATGCTGCGTATACACATTCTCCACTCCTTTCAGACCCTTGATAAATCTGAAATCAGGATAATAACGCGAAATATGCATGAAAATTACCGTTTTGTCATCTCGACGGCAGATTGGCCACCGAACAGCTCGTTTTTCCGCCGCGTTGCCCCGCCAAAACGAAGAAGCGAACGGACCAGGGATGAAGCCGCCGGTTCTAAAAGTATTAAAATCAGAATTTAACGGTTCTTTTGCATTATCGGGGGAGACCTAATTTTTTCTATAATTTTCACCGGAAACGCCTCATAACGTAATATTAAGTGTTTTAATCACGTTTTTTTTGGCAAAAATTAACTAAAAACGCGACAATCGAAATTTTAAATTTGGTCGAAAAATAGCATTTTTGAACTTTTTGATAAAGTCTGTAAAGTTTTTAGGTTTACGAATTTATAAAATAATTTAATTTAAATATCGATTTAAAAAAAGAACCTCTTTGCTTCAAAATGTTGATCAACCCGTTGATATCGTTGCTCTGGTTGCTCTCAAAACGAAGCGCGTAGAGGAGCACGAGCCGGGTGGCGTTCTAAAATTGAATTAAACCTTTAAAAAACTATAACTCACTAAATTTGAGATTTTCCTATTATTTAGAAGGACGCGAATCCGATCCAAGCATTGACTATGGTCGCCGTCAACCACCAACGATTGTTCCAGCTGAAAAAAAATACTATAGAATAAAATAAATTTTAATCATTTAAATAAAAATAATTAATTAATTTAGCAAAATCTCAACCTCAGAAACTTCTAGCAGACTCTCCGTGCCAACCAAACGACTCAATTCCCCCACAACGGACACGTGCTTCGAGACGGTACCTGGAAAAGGTTCTTTTAAAAAATATTTACGTTTCCCTCACCAGACATTTTCTTAAATTGTGGATACTCGTCGACAAAGCTCTTCATATCGGCGATCGACTCGACGTTCTTGTGGATTTGCGTCTAAATCGATTTTAATTTTTGACAACTAAAAACTGTCACCTTTGATTGAAACTGCTCCATCAGCGTCTTGATATTCTGCCCGATTTCGCCGAAATTTGCCGAGACGTTCTAAAAACAAAAGCTTCACTCGACGTCAAAAATAAATACCTTTTCATAAAAATCGTCCTGCAACTCGGACAACACCAAATTTTGCCCGTCGATTGTCACGCGATTATTCTGAATCCCGAGCAGCTCGTGCACCTAAAAACATTTATTTTTAAATGTTTTAAAAAGGCCGACCATAGCTTCATAGGTCCATTGATTGAGAAGCGGAGTGGCACAATCCTCAGATCGATCGACAATCAACAGCATCGTATCCTCCTTGCAATTCCGATACAGCCCATCCTCACGGCGCATCGTTTGTGCCACCTCTCCCGCCAATCGTTCACAGTCCTCATTCGTACGTTGGTAACTAAAATCAGATAAAAAGTTCGTGAAAGCCATAGAAAAACGCACCAGACGGTCGGCTTCTTCTTCAGCGCCAACGTCAACGCGATAATTGTCTGCTTGATGTGGAGGAGGGAAGTGGTTGACAAGCGAAAGGAGGCATCGTACGGATTGCGCATCCCGATCGACAGCAAGTGTTTCGAGAGCGGGATTCCGTCGCAGAAATATTCGTGCACTTCGCGAACCTGAAACAAGTTATATTTTCCTTTTCTGCTACTTTGAAGCTAAATATTTCTCTGAAAAACCGACCACTTCTTCTTCATCCGCTTCTGCCAACTGCTTGATGTCACTTTTGTTGGCAATGTTCGAGAAGACTAAATATTGTCGATTTACTTAGGTTTATTTATCTTACAAATGAAATATTGGGCGTATTTTGGGGTCCTCAACTCCTGGCACAGCAGGGTGATGTTCTCCTGGGTCGGCCGAACGAACACGATGCACTAAAGAAAATTTTTTACGAAATTTCCGCGAGCGATACCTTCAAATGTTTGATCTGCTCGCGGGGCACCGGGGAATCGAGCTTCTCGAACAGGTACACCTCCTTGTGCATCATTTCCGATTGGGCAAACGCGCACGAGACGATGCCCGTCTGAAAATCACGGCAATTTCTTGATTTTTATCCTAAAATCAAGGAAAATCGTTAAAACTGACCGTTTCCTTGTCCATGAGCAGCACCTTCATTTGAGGGCCGGCCTGGGCCACCATCTCGCCAATGTACAGCCTGACCGTGGCCAGGATGTCCATTTTGCCTGAAAGATAAAGCTTATTAAACTCCGCTAGGTCATTAATCTATCAAGAAAAAGCTTCACGTGTTGAGAAATTGATTGGCTACCACCGTCAATCCAAAAGAAACGTCAAGAACAAGTTTTTATAATCGAAAATTCTTTATTTCAACTTTCAAGACAGCGCAAACAAATCAACAAACAGTATGCAGCAATAACAAAATCAACAACAGAACAAACAACAATTCGCAAACTAAAGAATCATTTGACTTAAACGCAACGAAAGATTTGATAAAGTAATGAGCACCGTCTCCTCGACACGTTCACTTCTCGATCCGCTCCCAAAGGGCAGTGGATTGACGAGCTGGTCGAAGAATTGTTCAGCGGGCACCGACACAGTCTCATCCCCCTCCAACGCGGCTTCAACCCCTTGTACACCTCCGAAAATGACGAGGATCCTTTTTCGGGTCATCAGATTGATCTCGACATCATTCATCGATCCTCCATTCGGTGTCATCCCCAGCACAACATCATACTTCTTCCGGTCCATCACTTCTCCCAATGTCTTCGCAATTCGGACAGAATATCCCCAATAAAGAGACGTCGCATCACGGGCTTGTTTTGCATTGGCTAGGCGACCCTTGTAGAGACGACGATCTTCTCCCGTTTCTGTCAATTCGACAGTGATCCGAGTCGCTGGGGGGAATGGTGTGGAATTCTCGAGGAAGAGCTCTTTGTCCAATCCCACATCAACATAAACGCCTCGTCCCTTCTTGCACGGTTTGTCGAGTACAACCCCTTCTCGATACGGCACTGTGAAGTCTGTGGCTTTGAGATGGTGCGCGGAATCGAGCGGATGTAGAAGACCGACAGATCGAAGGGCCTTGTGGAACGGGAAAAGCGGTTTCCGGATGTATTGAGGGCATTCCAGGTATTCGAGGATTTTGGCGAGATGAAAGTTGCCCTCAATGTTCCGCTCGGACGGCTTGAGATCGCCCTGCCATTTGCCCGACCAGTAGGCGTCCACTTCTTCCTGTTTCATACGGCCCGTCTCGTCGTAGACGATGATCTCCTCGAGTCGATAGATTGTCGCCGCCCGTGCTACCTAAAAACCGAAATTTTTAGTTGCAAAAAGTCAAAAATTCATCTTTTTAGCTTTTTAAAAACCCTCACCTGGACAGCCATATACGCGCGAAGTTCATCACATTGGGCAAGGTTCAAGAACGATCCAGGAATGGCGATGGAGAGGGAGAATGGCGTGGTACCTGCCGGCTTCTCATCCGCAAAGGCCTCTTCCTCCTCTTTATGTTGTGTTCGTTCTTCTTGGGCAACTTTGGAGGCTTCGAACTGTTTCACCAGTTTCTGCTCCCGTTGCTCTTTCAAGGTCTCCTTCTTTTTGCGCCACGTCAGATCGTTGAACGATACTTTTTCCTTTTTCTTTTTGTGGACACGACCGTGGGATATCCGCTGCTCCATCTGTCTGCAAATAAACTATTAAACAAACCAATTTTTAAAATTTAGGTTCTTTCGCATTATCGGGGGTGCAACTTTTTCTCTGGATCCAAAGTTTCAAATATTAATAGCGGGGTGCTACTAAACTGTTGTTACTATCTCTAAACTTCACAAATATAGCAAAAATAAAGCTTTTTCGATCAAAACTGGCCAATTTTTGACCAAATTCGACATTAAAATCTTTTTGAAATCATGTTTTAGCAACTTTTTTTGTTCAAGAAAGCTTTTCTGCCCCAATCCATGGGTTTCTCATCTTCCGTGCACGCTTTTCCGAATCAACTAACATTTATTAAAATTGAAAGACACATAGAACACATTCAAAAACTCGGATATATTCGGGGGCAACCATCATCTGAAAGCGGGAATAAATAACACCACAGAGAGAATGAATACCTTTTTTGGCTGATAAATCGGAACCGATCGTTATATTAAGTCATCACAACACTATGGAAAAGAGGAAGCTGTCAAAAGGATGGGCGGCAAAACCAGAAACAAGGATCCGTAAAGATGAAGCCTGGCTGGCAATGGAAAAGAGATTATTCCGGATTTGTAGAGAGAGACAAGAATAAAAGAGGAATGAGACGATATAGAGAGAGAAACAACAACAGCTCTATATCAGAATGAAGGGAAAGGAGCACTCGCAATCGATCGATAAAACAACATTGAGCATTCCAGAGTTATAAAAAGCTATCTATCCTTCTAGCGAATCTTCATCTGCTTCATCTTTGGCTGCTTCGACTTGCGGTCGTGCTTGGCCTCCATCTTCTCGAGTCTTCTCTGCTTATCCGGGTCCTCCTCCTCCAGAATTCGCTGCTTCCTCTCGCGGGTCCGCTCTTCTCGACGGGCTTGAGCGGCTTCTTGGCGTTGGATGTGGGTGGTCTTCATGAACGCCTCCTCAACGGCCTGGCGGTTCTTCTCTGTCTTCAGTTTCGCTTCACGTGAGAGGCGGAATCTAAAAGAAGTGGTAAAAACTTCAAAAGAAATTATTTTTGCTCACCGGCGAACCTTGTCGACAATGTAGAAGATCATGTTGAGAATCTCGGTCTCCTCCTGGCGAAGCTCATCCCCACCATCCTGCAGCTCGACGGTGATGATGACGACTCGAGACACTTCCGGCAGTCGGGTGTACGTCTCCCCATCCGGCAGCTTGGCGCCGCAATATTGATCCGAGGCGTGGATTGAGTGTATCTTCGACTCGTACTTGCGCAACAGGGTTAGCAGGCCAGGGTCCAGGATGCCTAGAAATAAATTGAAATTCTGCGGTTCTTTTGGATTTTCGGGGGCGTCCTTTTTTCCTAATATAAAAAGTGTAAGTGTCTCTAGACTGTCAAAACTTTACAAATTTTGTGAAAAAACGCACAAAAAAACCCTATTTTTTTCGACAAAAAACGGCCGATTTTTATCATAAATTTTGGCGTTTCAAAATTTCTAAAGTCTAAATATTATTAGCTAATTTGACTAAAAACACAAAAATGCGTCCTATTAGGTTACTAGACACTTGTTGACTTATAAAAATTCAAGCCCCCCGATATAGCCATTTTTCGAATTACCCTAAAACCTCGTGTATAGGTCCGGTACAATTTGGTTGCGTACCAATACAAATGACACCAAATAATGTGCATAGGGTACAGTTCGGCCCAAAAGCTATGTAAGCCAAAAGAGCCGGTTCTCAGGGCCTCATGCAGCAATTTCTTTCATTAAACCACTCAATCGTTGGAAATGTCGAAATACGACAAATATTCCATCAAATTGCAAAATACCTTCGTGGCGGCGTTATTTGCAGAAACCGAAAAACGAAACACACCTAGTGCGGTCTCGGAATTCGAACGCCCCGTCCTGATTTTCGCCCGGAACTATCACGGGGGGACCTTACGGGTTTTAGGGTAAATCTCAAGCCTACCCATGGCAGCCTCGTTGAGTTCGGTGAAAATGCCCCAGGAAGCGGGCAGTCCTTGCATCGATCCAGGCTTCTTCTCGAGCGCGTAGGTGGACAGATCGGCCAATTCCTTGTGCTGCTTGGCGACGATTTTGCGTTGTCCGACGGCCAGCACCCACGGGTCCACTTCTTGCGCGTCCAGGTCAAAACTAAAAAAAAATAACAACCAAGATTGTAACGATACCGGAAGGTGATTCTATCCTTTTGCGGGGTGATGATGCCCATGACACGGCTGACAAGATCCTGCCGCTTGACCGTGCGCATCTGGATCTGCAGCGAGGTGACGCCGACACGGCCCGAGCACCAGATCGAGAACGAGTAGTCGGTCTCCTGAAAAAAGAACGATAAAAACTTAGTTTTGAAGTTAGATGAGACATTTTTGTGAAAACAGATCCAAAATAGCCGATTTAAGGATTTTTTCGCATTTTAAAGCTTGAAAAGCTTTTACACCTGGTTGTTTCGCAGGATTGATCAAGGTAAAATTCGGCGTAAAATCGGCGAGTTCGTGCTCAAAAATACCTTGGTAATATTTCCATCAGACGGCTCCTCAGTCAGTCCATCATCCCCCACAACCGAGAACTGCTGCTCGAGGGCATCGCGATGAGCGGAGAACCAAGTGTAGGCCAATCCCTGATTGACGCCCCTTCCATAGACGTAGTTGAGCATGTAGAGCACGAGGATCACGATCACAGCAGCTTCTACCTAAAGAGAAAAGTTACGGGTGCTCAAATCAGAGTTTCCATACCTGATACGACGCCCAATTCGACCGGAAGTGAGCGGGCACATCCGAGAAGCGGAGCGGTTCTTGGGCCTTTGGCGCGATGGAGTCGGGCTCCTCAAAGGTCTCTTGCTCATCGTTGATTCCATAGTCCTCCTCGTCGTTGTCGAACTCGTTGGCTAGCGGTTTCTTCTCCTGTGCTGGAGGCGAGGGGCGGCCTTGTTTTGTTGTTGTGGTGGTGGAGGGGATGGTGGCGTGTAGTGGATCGTCTAAAAAAGAGTTGATAGTTAAAAGAAAAAATGGCAACCTCATCAGCGTCTTCAAACTCGGCGAATTCGTTGTCATCCTCGCCGGGCGGGCCACTTTGGCTGCCGGCAAATAGGAAGGCCAGCAGGAAGATGAGGTGTACGGCTCGCATCGGGTACCCTGCAAATTTTTAGGTTAGAAAAGAAGGCTTGAGGATAAAAATAAGGAGAACATTCGCATTCAGAAACAGATTCATCCAGAACAGAGCAGCAGCAAATTAGCGCTTTTATCTTCAGAGTAAAGTTTAGGAAATGCGTAGCAGCTTCAAATAAATCCCCATGAAGCCTTTTGGAAACTTATTGTTGCTTGGGTAGCTGACGAAAAGCCGAGCGAAGACTCGTAGAAAAAAAATCCAACTTTTTAATGGATTCTATAACCAAAAGAGCATCCAAAAATTTTTGCAGTAGCTTCTAAAAAAAAATCATCCTTAAGTATGCTGAGTAATCTCTGATCTATACCTTTACTAGATTCTATAACCCTCGGCTGCCCGAATAGTTTTTACTTTCGAGGGTATAAGGAGAAGAATGAGCATCAACGCCCCAAAAAGCGC